GGGCACCCAGTGCGGGGGACACCCAGTGCGGGGGCACCCAGTGAGGGGGCACCCAGTGAGGGGCCACCCAGTGAGGGGGCGCCCAGTGAGGGGGGCACCCAGTGTGGGGGGCACCCAGTGTGGGGGGGCACGGGGTGACACCCAGTGCGGGGGCACCCAGTGAGGGGGCACCCAGTGCGGGGGGGCGCAGGGGGCACCCAGTGCGGGGGGGCACCCAGTGAGGGGGCACCCAGTGCAGGGGACACCCAGTGAGGGGGCACCCAGTGCAGGGGCGCCCAGTGAGGGGGCACCCAGTGAAGGGGGCACCCAGTGAGGGGGGCACCCAGTGAGGGGGGCACCCAGTGAGGGGGCACCCAGTGTGGGGGGCACCCAGTGAGGGGGGTGCGGGGTGACACCCAGTGAGGGGGCATCCAGTGAGGGGGGCACCCACTGCAGGGGCACCCAGTGTGGGGGCACCCAGTGCGGGGGGGCACCCAGTGAGGGGGGGCGCGGGGGGGCACCCAGTGTGGGGACACCCAGTGAGGGAGCACCCAGTGAGGGGGGCGCGGGGGGCACCCAGTGCGATGGCACCCAGTGAGGGGGCACCCAGTGACAGGGCACCCAGTGCGGGGCACCCAGTGCGGGGGGTGCGGGGGACACCCAGTGCGGGGCACCCAGTGAGGGGGGGCGCGGGGGGGCACCCAGTGAGGGGGCACCCAGTGAGGGGGGCACCCAGTGAGGGGGCACCCAGTAAGGGGACACCCAGTAAGGGGACACCCAGTGAGGGGGCACCCAGTGAGGGGGCACCCAGTGGGGGGGACACCCAGTGAGGGGGGCACCCAGTGAGGGGGCACCCAGTGCGGGGGGCACCCAGTGCGGGGGGCACCCACTGCATGGGGGACACCCACCCCGAGGTGACACCCGCCCAGGGGACACCCGCTGCATGGGTGACACCCACCCGGGGGGACACCTGCTGCATGGGGGACACCCACCCGGGGGGACACCCGCTGTGGGGGGGACACCCGCCTGGGGGGACACCCACCTGGGGGGACACCCGCCCAGGGGTGACACCCGCCTGGGGTGACACCCACCCAGGGGACACCCGCCCGGGGGGACACCCGCCCAGGGGTGACACCCACCCGCAGTGACACCCACCCAGGGGACACCCACCCGCAGTGACACCCGCTGTGGGGGGGACACCCGCCCCGGGGGGACACCCGCGCGGGGGGACATGCGCGCGGGGTGACACCCAGTGCGGGGTGACACCCACCCGGGGGACACCCGCTGTGGGGGGACACCCACCTGGGGGGACACCCACCCAGGGGACACCCGCCTGGGGGGACACCCACCTGGGGGGACACTCGCCCAGGGGTGACACCCGCCTGGGGTGACACCCACCCAGGGGACACCCGCCCGGGGTGACACCCGCCTGGGGTGACACCCACCCAGGGGACACCCGCACGGAGGGACACCCGCTGCGTGGGGGACACCCACCCAGGGGACACCCACCTGGGGGACACCCGCCCCGAGGTGACACTCGCCCAGGGGGACACCCGCCTGGGGGACACCCACCCAGGGGACACCCGCTGCATGGGGGACACCCACCCGGGGGGACACCCACCTGGGGGGACACTCACCCAGGGGGACACCCACCCCAAGGGGACACCCACCCAGGGAGACACCCGCCTGGAGTGACACCCACCCGGGGTGACACCTGCCCCAGGGGGACACCCACCCGGGGGGACACCCACCTGGGGGAACACTCGCCCAGGGGACACCCACCCCAAGGGGACACCCACCCGGGGGACACCCGCCCAGGGTGACACCCACTGCATGGGGGACACCCGCCCCGGGGTGACACCCACCCAGGGGACACCCGCGCGGGGTGACACCCACCCGGGGTGACACCCGCCCAGGGGACACCCGCCCCGGGGTGACACCCACCCAGGGGACACCCGCCCGGGGTGACACCCGCCCGAGCGGCGCCACGGGGACCCCCTCCGCGGGCGCCATGGCAACGGGCCACAGGGTGTCCCCGCGGTGCTTGGGGTGTTGTCGGGGTGGCGACGGTGTCACCCACGGGTGACACTGCGGCCCCGGCACCCTGCGCGCTGCCAAGGGGACCCTGGGCGGGTGTCACAGGAGCGGGGCACGGCCGGGGGTGCCGGGGGGTCCCCGGGGTGCCGGGGGGTCCCCGGGGGGGTCCCTGGGAGCAGAACTGGGACAGCGACCGGTTGTTACTGGGGCGGCGCCTGGGGGGGCCTCGGGGGGGAGGGGTCACCGGGACGTCACCCGGACGTCACCCGGACGTCACCCGGACGTCACCCAGGGGCGTCACCCGGCGGCTGCTGGGGGTCACCAGGGGCAGCGCCGGGGCGTCACCGTCCAGCGGGTGTTGCTGGAGGGCCCCCCGGGGAGGGGGCACCGTGGGGCACCCATGGGTGCTGTGGGGCTCCAAGAGATACGAGGGTGTTGTGGGGCACCCCTAGGTGCTGTGGGGCACCCATGGGTGCTGTGGGGCTCCAAGAGATACGAGGGCGCTATGGGGCACCCATGGGTGCTGTGGGGCTCCAGTGGACACCRGGGTGTTGTGGGGCACCCCTAGGTGCTGTGGGGCACCCATGGGTGCTGTGGGGCTCCAAGAGATACGAGGGCGCTATGGGGCACCCATGGGTGCTGTGGGGCTCCAGTGGACACCAGGGTGTTGTGGGGCACCCCTAGGTGCTGTGGGGCACCCATGGGTGCTGTGGGGCTCCAAGAGATACGAGGGCGCTATGGGGCACCCATGGGTGCTGTGGGGCTCCAGTGGACACCRGGGTGTTGTGGGGCACCCCTAGGTGCTGTGGGGCACCCATGGGTGCTGTGGGGCTCCAAGAGATACGAGGGCGCTATGGGGCACCCATGGGTGCTGTGGGGCTCCAGTGGACACCAGGGTGTTGTGGGGCACCCCTAGGTGCTGTGGGGCACCCATGGGTGCTGTGGGGCTCCAAGAGATACAAGGGCGCTATGGGGCACCCATGGGTGCTGTGGAGCTCCAACGGACACCAGCGTGCTGGTGGGCACCCTTGGGTGCTGTGGGGCTGCAATGGACACCGGGGCCCTGTGGGGGAGGTCTGGGTGCCGTAGGGCACCCGTGGGTGCTGTGGGACTCCAATGTGGGACACCAGGCTGCTGTAGGGCACCCGTAGGTGCTGTGGGGCACCCTTGGGTGCTGTGGGGCTCCAATGGACGCCAGGGTGCTGTGTGGCACCCATGAGTGCTGTGGGGCTCCAGGGGACACCAGGGATGCCGTGTGGCACCCGTGGGTGCTGTGGGGCTCCAGTGGACACCGGGGATGCTGTGGGACACCCATGGGCGCTGTGGGGCTCCAGGGGACCCCGGGGATGCTGTGGGGCACCCGTGGGCGCTGTGGGGCTCCAGTGGACACCTGTGGGCACTGTGGGGCACCCGTGGACACCGGGGATGCTGTGGGGCACCCGTGGGCGCTGTGGGGCTCCAGGGGACACCGGGGATGCTGTGGGGCACCCGTGGGCGCTGTGGGGCTGCACTGGACACCGTGGGCGCCGTGGGGCTCCAGTGGATACTGGGGATGCTGTGGGGCACCCATGGGCGCTGTGGGGCTCCAGGGGACACCGTGGGCGCTGTGGGGCTCCAGGGGACCCCGGGGATGCCGTGTGGCACCCGTGGGTGCTGTGGGGCTGCATTGGACACCAGGGATGCTGTGGGGCACCCATGGGCGCTGTGGGGCTCCAGGGGACCCCGGGGATGCCGTGTGGCACCCGTGGGTGCTGTGGGGCTGCATTGGACACCGGGGATGCTGTGGGGCACCCATGGACCCTGGAGATGCCGTGTGGCACCTGTGGGTGATGTGGGGCTGCAGTGGACACCGTGGGCACTGTGGGGCTCCAGGGGACCCCGGGGATGCTGTGGGGCGCCCGTGGGCGCCGTGGAGCTCCAGGGGACCCCGGGGATGCTGTGGGGCACCCGTGGGCGCTGTGGGGCTGCAGTGGACACCGGGGATGCTGTGGGGCACCCGTGGGCGCTGTGGGGCTGCAGTGGACCCCGTGGGCACTGTGGGGCTCCAGGGGACACCGGGGATGCTGTGGGGCACCCGTGGACACCGGGGATGCTGTGGGGCACCCGTGGGCACTGTGGGGCTCCAGGGGACCCCGGGGATGCCGTGTGGCACCCGTGGGCGCCGTGGGGCACCCATGGGCACTGTGGGGCTCCAGGGGACCCCGGGGATGCCATGTGGCACCCGTGGGTGTTGTGAGGCTCCAGGGGACCCCGGGGATGCCGTGTGGCACCCATGGGTGTTGTGAGGCTCCAGGGGACCCCAGGGATGCCGTGTGGCACCCGTGGGCGCCGTGGGTCGGCCGCGGGCGCGCGCGCCCACCTGCTTGTTCATGAAGACGTAGATGATGGGGTTGTAGACGGTGGAGGCCTTGGAGAAGACGGAGGGCACGGAGGCGAGCGCCACGTCGAAGGGCTGCCCGCGGTGCGTCACCACCCAGAGCGCGAAGGCCGCGTAGGGCAGCCAGCAGAGCAGGAAGCCCAGCACCATGACCACCACCATCTTGGTGACCTCGCGCTCCGCCTTCTGCGTCGTGGCCGACTGCTCCTGCTGCTTGGCCACCTGCGGGGCGCGCGCACGGAGCGGCCGTCGGGAGTGGGCCAACGTGGGCATGGAGTGGTCGTTGGGAATGAGTGATCATGGGCATGGAGTGGTCGTTGGGAATGAGCCAACGTGGGCACGGAGCGGTCATCGGGAATGAGCGATCATGGGCACGGAGCGGCCATCGGGAATGAGCGATCATGGGCATGGAGTGGTCGTTGGGAATGAGCCAACGTGGACACGGAGCGGCCGTCGGGAGTGAGCCGACGTGGGCACGGAGCGGTCATCGGGAATGAGTGATCATGGGCACGGAGCGGCCGCTGGGAATGAGCCAACGTGGGCACGGAGCGGCCGTCGGGAGTGAGCCGACGTGGGCACGGAGCGGTCATCGGGAATGAGCGATCATGGGCATGGAGTGGCCGTCGGGAGTGAGGCACCACGCGCACGGAGCGGCCGTTGGGAATGGGCCAACGTGGGCATGGAGTGGTCGTTGGGAATGAGCGATCATGGGCACGGAGCGGCCGTTGGGAATGAGCGATCATGGGCACGGAGCGGCTGTTGGGAATGAGCCAACGTGGGCACGGAGCGGCCATCGGGAATGAGCCAACGTGGGCATGGAGTGGCCATTGGGAATGAGCCATTGTGGACACGGAGCGGCCGTTGGGATTGACCGATCATGGGCATGGAGCGGCCGCTGGGAGTGAGGCAACGTGGGCATGGAGC